AAGAACGAAGACTCAGCTCTAGTCAACGTAGTACTGCATCTCTTCCACTTAGTGAACATGAACATGGAGAACATAAATTAGCGCAAAGTTACGGATCTGGAAAGATCGATCTTGAATCTCCTGAATTCAATGAGCATGAAGTAAAACATGATTTTGAACGAAGACTCAGCTCTGGACAAGTTAGCACTGCGTCTCTTCCACTTACGAAGCGCGAAGAACATGAAACTCAGCAACATCCTAAAGAAGATGACCACGAACCACAACCAAGCTCTCGAACAACGTCAACTACATCTCATGAAGAGATTGAACCAGAAGATAAGCACAAACTCACGCCAAAATCAAGCATCGGTCAACTCAGTACTCATTCAGCACAACTAAGTGAACATGAAGTTGAAGAAACACGTTCTACACCAGAACGAAAAACTAGTATCGGTCGACTCTCAACTGAATCTTCTCCAACCGTCGAACACAAAGATTATGAGCATGAACAATTACCGAGTCACACGGATACTTCGGCCAAATCTGATGAAGAAACTGAAGAAGAAGAACATCCATTACAACAAAGTTTTGTTTCTGACAAAAGCAATGTTGAATCTTCTCACGTGAGTGAACATGGAGACGAAGAACATCACATCATCAGCTCCAAACCAGCTTCCATCGTACAAACACCTGAACAAGAACGAAGATTCAGTTCTGGAAAAGTCAGTGTTGCGTCTCTTCCACTCATTCAACATGAAGTTGACCATCAACGGCATCATGATGCAGATCACTTTCAAAGACAACCGAGTTCTTCAGCAATCTCTGTGACTTCTCATGAAGAGATTGAACCTGAACATGTAGAAAAACTAACACCAAAATCAAGTATTGGAAAACTTAGTACTGAATCTCTACAATACAGTGAACACGAAGATGAGGAACATCACATCATCAGCTCCAAACCAGCTTCCATCGCACAAACACCTGATCATGAACGAAGACTCAGCTCTAGTCAACGTAGTATTGCATCTCTTCCGATTAGTGAACATGAAGATCATGAAGTTGACCATCGACAGCATCATCATGCAGATCAGTTTCAAAGACAACCAAGTTCTTCAGCAATCTCTGTGACATCTCATGAAGATATTGAATCTGAACATGTAGAAAAGGTAACACCGCAATTCAGTGAACATGAAGACGAAGAAGTGCATCATTCACCAGAACGAAAAGTTAGCATTGATGAAGTTTTAGCTAAATCTTCTCCAACAGTAGAACATAAAGATTATCAACATGAACAATTGTCAACTCAGAAAGATAGTGCCGCCAGATCTGATGAAGAAATTGAAGAAGAAGAACATGAACTACAACAAAGCTTCGTTTCTGAAAAGAGTAATGTTGAATCTACTCATATGAGTGAACATGAAGATGAAGAACATCACATCATCAGATCCAAGCCAGATTCGGTCGTACAAACACCTGACAACGAACGAAGATTCAGCTCTGGAAAAATCAGTACTGCCTCTCTTCCACTTAGTGAACATGAAGATGAAGAAGCACGTTATTCACCAGAACGAAAACTTAGCACCGGTCGTGTCTCAGTTGAGTCTTCTCCAACAGTCGAACACACAGATTATCAACATGAACATTTACCAACTCATCAAGATACTTCAGCCAAATCTGATGATGAAATTGAAGAAGAAGAACATGATCACGAACCATTGGAACGTTCTATTCAATCACGTATGGATTCCTTTCATGACGTGAGTGAAGACAAGGAAGATGTAAAAGTTCAATACGATTTCGAACAAAAATTAAGTAAGGATCAGACTCATGTTGAATCACCATCAGAAGCTGTAGATCAATTAGAACGCAAACGAAGTGTTGACAGCGTTGTTTCAGAACCTCATCGTGATAGTGAACATGAAGAAGAACAATATGAACATAATAAAGAAGAAAAACCTGCAGTAGAAGATGAATTCCAACTTGAACGAAAACTAAGCAGTGAAAAACTCGTTAAAGAATCTGAAGAATTCAGCGAAGATGAACATAAATTAGAACCACAACTAAGTTCTGGAAAAGTTAGTAGTATATCACCACGTACAAGTGAACGTGATGAAGATGAAGATCATTATCAACGACAGATCAGTGCTGACCAAGTATCTACTCAAAGTTCTCATAAAACTGAAGAAGAACGATTTCATGAACGTGATGATGATGATGATGTCATTATCGAAACATCACAAGAAACCGAAGAAGATAAAACGAAACAAGATGATGAAGTAAAATCGAAACAAAAATTAAGCAATGTTAAATTTATGGTTTCATCTGCTCCATCATCTGAGGAAGAAGAAAAAGAATCGGAAAAAGGAGATGAAGAAACAGAACAACAGTATCACTTTCAACATGATGAACAAAACAAAGCTCAACATAAAACAACCAGTGAATCATCTGATGAAAACCAAGAAGATAGTTTCAAACGTAGAATAAGTACCGGTGATATTCCTGTTCAATCATCTCATGAAAGTGAACATGAAGACGAAGAAGATCTACATGCAAAAGAATCCATCACTACATCTCATTTATCCGATAAAGAAGAACAGTATCAATCTGAACATAAACAAAGATCTGAAACAGAAGAAAATGACAATCAATATCAGGATGATTTTGATACTGAAGAACCCTATGTACCTGACGAGAATGAACAAGATCAACATAGTCGATTTTCAACATCTGATAAAGCTTCAATTGGATCTGATCGACAAATCGAAGAAGAAAAACCAGAACGTAAATTGAGTAGCAATCAAGTGGTTATTAAATCATCTCATGAAAGTGAACACGAAGAGGAAGAAGATGATAAACATCAAAAAGAATCTATTAGCTCAACACATCAATCAGATGAAGAAGAACAATATCATGACGAACATAAACTTGAACGACAATCAAGTGTTGATAAAAGCGAACAAAAACAAGATGCAAAAAATATTGAATATGAACGATTAATAAGTGCAGGACAAGTTGCACTTTCTTTTCCTCAACAATCTGAAGAAGATCAATATGAACAAAGTTCAATTACAGAAGAAAACGAACGAGAATTAAGTGATGATGGTTTTGTTAATCTTGAATCATCATCGGTCCATGAGCAAACAAAACGTTCACAAGAATGGACACATTCATCATTTCAACGTGATGAAATCTATGGAGATAAATATCGACCAGCTAAATATGCTCTTGAACCACCAGACTTGACAGATATTCAACATACATCTGATTCAAATGAACTTGAACCACCAGTAATATCCCATATTCAACGTTCATCTATTATATCTCGTACGATTCCATCTTATCAAGATGAAGAAGAATTAGAACATTCAGATGAAACTGATTTTCGACCAACACATCTTGATATTTCAGTACCAGATGAAACCGAAGATACTTCATTATTATCAAATGAAAATAATCAATATGAAAAAGTTCTTATTGAAACATCAAATAGTTTTGTTAATCAAATATTAAATGATGCTGTTAATGAAACAATTGAACACGAAAAAAATTATTCATTATATCAAACTGCTACTGGCATCGTTACTGATGTTATGGATAATATTTATACAAAATATGATGATGAAATTCTTTCATCACAACGTGAAGAAGCAACTAGTGCTGATGTATCAATAAGTGATTTAACAGATTGGTCATCACTTGTTAGAAATACTCCTGATTTAACAATTCAAGAACAACCATTAACCATTTCAAGTAATGAAATAGAATTAAATAAAGAAGAATATTTAACATCGGATGATGAAGAAAAAGATAAATTACCTTCACATATAACGGATGAACCATATTTATCTGGTACAGATATTAATAAATCAAAATCAACACATGAAATTCATGATCTTGTTCAAGATTTACAAACATTTGAACGAGAAATCAATGATAATGTCGATGTTATTCGTTCATCATCACCTTCATCGTCATCATCTCAATCAGATAATGATGAAATTCATCATTATGATTTAGAACTTCAAGAAAAAATAGCTACACCATTCAATAATGAAGCAACAAATCTTATTTCTGAATTACAAACTATTGAAGAAAAATTTGATCATTTACAACATGAAGAAAATCTACCAACAACAACAGATGTTGATACATTATCACGTAGTATAAATCAATATCGTCGTGAATCAATAAGTGCATCAGATGATTATTCACATCATATTGAACGTCGACCATCAAGTCCACCAACATCACCATTACGTAAAGAACAATTTGTTCATATAACATGTTCATCAATGAATGATGTTGATCAAGTTCAACAACAATTACAAAATGAACACGAAGAAACTCAAGTTTTACAAGATATGATTGATACAATTATTAAACAAGCACAAGAACATATACAATCAAATGTAAGTTAAATCTAATTATCTTTAACAACAAAAAACAAATATTTCTTTTTAGTCATTAAATGTACCACAATTAAAAAGAAAATCTATTCCAACAATTCTTGTTGATGAACGTCGTGTACCCTATATTCAATCATCAGCAACAAGTATATCGGATGAATTAGATCTTTCACATGAAGATAGTACCGGTGATCGATCAACTGAATTAGCAGCTCAACTTGATTATCTACGACGTATGTCACGTTATGAACATTTAATGGATGAACAACATCATATTGAAACAGTATCACTTGATAATAATCAAACGATTGATACAGATGCAATATCACAAACAAATTTAGCTAATAATAGAAGTACTGGTGTTGATGATGAAGAATTATTATCAAGTAATTATTTGACTATTACTCGTGACGAAGAACAACAATCACCATCATCTGATGAACATGAAGAAGAAGATGAAGATAAAGAAAAAAAGAAAAAACGTAAAAGTACTCCTGATGATGATCATAAATCTTTATCTGAACATCATGATTCAGACGACGATGATGATAATGATGATCATAAAGGTGATAAACCATTGATATCAACAAATATTCAAGAAACTATTCAATCAGAACCAACTCAACAATCAACACCAACTGATTCAAATGAAAAACAAACTCAACAACAAGAACAAAAACAACAAGAAATGGAAATGAGTCGTGATTCAATAAGTGAATTAATGCTTATGAGTCAAGATTCCCTTAAACATCAACGTTCATTTGATTCTCTTGATTCTGATCAAGAAATAAAACTACTTTCATCAAATACTTCACAAATACAATCAAATGAAATCGATGATTTTCTAACTACGGAACATCAAAGTGAACCAACACCAAGTCGTATGATGACAAACTATGTTGATGATACTTCAAATAATAACATTAAATCAACCAATGAACAATATCCATTAATATCAAATGAAATCGATATTGGACAATTACCTGTTATACATGCACGACGTACAGCTAGTGAAAATAGTTTATTTAGTACATCATCATCATCATTACATATGTATGATGGTCATTCATTATCAACATCATGTTTAATGGATAAAGATGATTTAACACCATCAAATGAATACATTGATTATCAACAACAAATGTTATATGATGATTCACAAAAAAATCAACAAATTTATCGTGAAACAACACGAACAGATGATGATGATAATAATAATAATAATGATGACATGAATAATATTAATGTAAGTACATCACCATCAACAAGTAGCGTTGGTTTCTTTGATCGTGTTAAAGCATTTGTTACTAAACCAGTTGAAATTGTTCAAGAAGCTATGGAAAATCGTCGTAAACAACGTTCAACATCATCATTAAATAGTAATACAGATACAAATGAAAAACAATCATTAGATAATGAACATGAACAAAAATTTTTATCATCATCCGAACAACATTTTCATTCTGTTTATGATCTACATGATGAAGATCAAAATCAACTTGTTCATAGTCCAGAATTATACAATATGAATAATCTTAGCGATAAAACTTTCTTACCACATTTACATGTACAAAATCGTACACAATCCGAATCAGCATTAACTATTGATAATACAAAACGTGGTAGTTTAGTAACAACAAGTAATGATATATCTGAAGAATATTTACCAGCAATATCAAAAGATAATTCATTAGAATTTATGTATGAACAACAACATCGACTTTCAACACCATATGATGATGTTATGGAAAAAGAATCAAGTCCTGAACATTCAGATTCATATAATCTACCAACAACAGCTTTTTTAGATACATTCGAACCAACAAGTAGTAGTCAAAGACCATTAGCACTTAGTGTACCTGGACAACAATCACGACAAATTGATGAAACAATGACAGAAGAAGAATTTGATATACTTACAACTGATTATGTTAATCAAGTATTATATGATGTCGTAGCAAAAATGGGTGGTGATCAGGACGATTCTTCTCATAGTAACAAAAGTGATAAACTATCCGATAATGATACTTCATCTGATGATGAAGATGAAGATGAACAAAAACAAAATCAAATACCAACAGATACAAGTTCATTTGGTTTTACTGATCGATATAGTGCTGATGAATCATCAAATACACGTGAACATACAGATGATGAAGATCATTCAGCTCGATCATCAACAACAGCAACACCAACTAAAAATCTTCGTCATTCACATACAGATACAGAAATACTTAATATTGAAAAATCTTCAAATATATCAATACCAACAACTATTCAGTATGGCTCTCCATCTGATACAGGAACATTTCATAGTGCAATATCACCATCAAGTGGTGCTGATTATATTGATGTTCATAGTACACTTTCAACTGTTGATGGTGATGATAAATCAAATCTACAACCACCAACACAATCAAATTCTAGTCAATATTTAACAGCTAATGATGAAACACCAAATTTTTTAACATCAGATGATAATGAATATGCTGAAGAAAGTGGCACAATTAATTATAGTTATAATGATTCAAGTTCGGACGAAAAATTTTCTAATGAAAATCGTTCAAATAAAAAATATTCAGGTGAAGGTGAAGAAAGTAGTAGTGGAAATCAAGATGATATTCAACGACGAAAACGTTCAAATGAACAACGTGAATCAATAAATAATAATAATAATACAACAGATAATCTTTCGACAAAAACTGTTTCATTTAAATTAGATCTGAATGACAATGCTTTACATTCACCACGTTCATCAACAAGTATTGGATTTAATATTAATCGAGAAGAAAGTGTTGATTCACCAATCGATGATTCAAATGAAAAAAATCTAATAAAAAATTTACAAGAAGAAATTCTTCGTACAAATTTAGAAACATTAAAAAATGATTTAGAATTACCTGATAATCAAATTTATTCATCATCAATCGTACCACAATTAACAACAACAACAACAACAAATAAAACGATATATTATTCGGATTATGATGCTGGTAGTGAAAGTGATCGTGATTCAACATTAGTTGATTCATTAAAATCTACTATACAAACAGAATTAAATGATATTTATAATGAAAAAGAATCGTTAATTGATAAAATCAAATTAAAATTTGAACGTTCATTAGATCGTTTAATTGAAAAAACATTATCTGGTGATGATGATACAAATAAATCTGATCTTATATCACCATTTACAGATACAAGTTTAAATCGTTCATTACCAGCAAGTGAACATACACCAACAACAATGATGCATGCACATAGTGAACAAACTTTACAAGCATGTCCAGATGAACTCGATTATGGTACATTACAACGTTTTAGTTCTGATAGTTGTATAATTATTCGTGTACCTGAACAATATACTCCATCCTCAACATTGTTTTTTGATCAACTTAAAAATGAACAATTAGATCAAAAAATAAAAAGTAATCAAACAACATCTGCATTTAGTTTCTATTCAAAACAAGAACATCAACAACAACAACAACAACAACCGCAACCATCAAGTAGTCCAATTGAAATGTTAACAGCAACAACAACAGAAAATGATACACTTGATAATATTTCACCAATTAATCGTTATACACCACGTTCATTAGATGATTCATCACTTGATTTTGGTGAACGTGATATGACAGATATGTCCGATGAATTTGTTCTAGTTAAAAATATATCACCATCAATAAATACTACAAAAGAAGTTAAACGTGATACACCATCAAATTCATCATCAAGTTCATCAGATAAACATGAAAGTCCGGATTTAATTGATATTCTTCAACATCAATGTGATTATCCACCACTTGATACAGGTTTTGATTTACGTTCAGGTACAACATTAGAAACAGTTTATGAAAGTCCTGAATTACGTAATGATGATACTAAATCAGTTGGTAGTGTATTAAGTTTAACAACAGCTGATATACTTCGACCATTTTCAACTGAATATAATTCATCAAATACACCAAATACAGATGATTCATTAATGGAATTTGAACGTATTGAAATGGAATTATTAAGAAATTCTTCTTTAGGAAATGTTAACGATGTTTCACGTGAAATACGTTCATCAGTTGATTCATTAATACAACAAAATGAAAATAATACAAATAAAGTCGAATCATTTATTGAAAAACATTTTCCATCAATTGATAATGATGTTCAAAATGTCCTTAATGATATTCTTGATATGACAGGTGATTTAACACATTCAATATCTTCACAATCGGATGCAACAACTGTTATTGAACGATCTCAACATCATTCAATAGATGATGATTTTGTTCAAGTTACACATGAAGATATCGAAAATCAAGAAAAAAATAGATTTTCATCAGATGACGATCTTCTTCATAATCAAACAACATTATCTAGTCATGATAAACGTCGTTTATCAGCACCTATACATGATCAATCAACAAGACGTATTAAGACTCCTTCATCAAGTTCCTCTTCCTCATCCTCATTTTCTTCAACATCTCGTTCTGTGATATATTCTCAGCAACATTCACAACCTCAACAACGTATATTACAAGCTGAAACTGATCTATCTAGTTTTAGACAACAACAACAAACACAATCGGCAACGGATTTACCATTTTTACCTCCATTTGTAAATACAAATCCGACACGAACAAAAAAACATTCATCATCAGTTTCAACTACACCATCACATTCACATGTAGAATTATCTAGTGGCAATTCGAAGAAAAAAACTCATTCACATCCCGGTTCGTTAGGAGGTAATCAAATACCTCCTCAATCATCATTAAATAAAGAAGGAATGTCTTCTTCACAACTCACATCTATGTCTTCTCATTCGTCATCGTCTTCTCATCATTCCGACGATTGTTATTGTACGGATCCAACCACAACTAGTCATCAACATTAATTATCAAAGTGGTAAAAAAAGAAATAATTCTCTCTGTGTACTATACATATACTTCAATGTTGTATCAGTAATACGAAACTTCTTCTTCTCCTTCTTCTTCGTCTCGCGATTAAGTGATCACTAATATTTAATGCATGTTAACTTGCTTGTTTGTTGTGTCTAATCATACACATATTTATATATATGCATATTAATAGCAAAAATGAATTTATTTATATACATATTTTTTTTCGTTTATTTCAGGTGAATACCATCTTTGAAGTAAGAGTCAAAAAAAAACATGGTCATTAACGATGTATATGTAATTTTATATTCTATTTAGTCTTTTACGAATATCATATTTGCTGAAGGGGTAGTCTTGTATCATGTATTGACAATTCTTTTTCTTTTCTTCTTACTTTTAACGTCATAAACCGACTTTCGGTTACTATTTGTGTGTTTGATTTAAATTCTTCATTTTGTTTTTTGTCTTTGTGCGCTATTTACAATATATGAGCATAATAGATTGAATGAGATGACAAACAATATATCAATACTAACGTGTTAAACACGTCTTATATATCAAAAACAAAAAAGTCATATTATATTAAACAAGAAAACGAAATTTTCATTTTCTTTATATTATAATTTGTCTCGTTTTTATTCTTCTTAATATTGTCGTCTTGTTTCAATTCTTAGTGCTATTTATTATTGCTGCTTTTTTGTTTTCTTTCTCTTTCTTTTTTTTTTTTTCTCACACTTTTTTGTTTCTTTTCTTTACGTCTTTGCTTTGCTATGTATGTTCATTTGCATTATTATCATTCAGAAAACACACACCCAAATATAATAATAATAATAGCCTATGAAGAAAACAAAATCTTCTCTTCTTATTTTATATATATGTAAAAGAAAAATTTCATAAGAAAGAAAAACGAATTGAAAAGAAAAAGACATTGCGAGGAATTTCACTCCTAAATAAAAAGAAAATCAATTTAATGATACAAAAAAAAATGCAAGCACTATAACAATTAACTTACATTTGGAGGATAATTATATAACTCTCTGGATTTAGGTATTAATGCTGAATTGGAATAATCAGCTGCATCTCGAACATTGACTAGTCGATAGTATAATTCAGCATTTCCAAACTAAAATCAAATTTTATTAATAAATATGTAGATTTTCTGTAATCACAATTGAACTTACATTTGAATATGTATTAATAATAGAAAGTCGTTCATCGTGTTGAATAGGTAATGATTTTAATGGTGTTTTCCATCGACCAACTAATAAACGATTTTTATAATCAAATATTGGCATTTTAGCCCAAGAAGCTGTATGAAATGATTCATTTGGTGTTGCTATTAATGTGCTTTGTACTTCAATAACGAGTTTTAATGCTTGTTGTGCTGGACATCTAGAATAGATCAATTATAATAAATAAAAAAAAGATTACAATTTGTTTTTGTTTAATTAAATAAACCTTGGTACAGGTTGTTTTGTAGCAATATAAGCTGTACGCATTGTTGTATTACTTATATCATCAGCAGATAATTCACATCTACATGAATCTAATTGTGATGGTTCACCAAGACCTGTTTGTTCATGATGAAGACTAGTTATTAATCGAACTCGATCAAATGTTTGAGGTAAATTAGCAATAAAATCAAAAAATATTACAAAACCATCAATTGGATCATATGGTGGAGTCGTAAGTGTATCATTGCCAATTAGATACGGTTTATCCTGACGTGCTATATGATCAGTTTGACGTACAGACGAATGTATTAGAGAATTCATTGGTTGATAACCATTAACGTATGGTACCGGTTCAGGTCCTCGATTTGTTGGTAAACCTGTTTCTAATTTTTTTGTACCTTGAAATAAAAAAGGGATGATAAAATAATAAAATATTGATTTTTAAATTATACGTGAATCAAGTCCATGAAATCTACGTCGTATATCATCAAGTTCATTTTGTAATCGTTGATTCTCACTTTTCAATGTTGTTACTTTAGTATTTGAAGAGTCAATTCCAGGAAATGGTGGAATTGCATGAACTATGAGAAATTAATTAATTAAAAGATAAAGAAACTAAAATTGAGTTAATACATTTTTGACGTCTCAATGGTTCAGGATTATCTTTTATTCCTGAATAAGGTTGATATTGAGTTAATCTATTTTCCATATCCGAATAACTAATAAGAACAGCTGCATTATGACCACCTGATTGTAAATATTTATTACGTGCATTTCTTAAAGAAAAAATAATTTAATTAGAAATGATTTTGTTTATTGAACAAGTTTACTACCTAAGATCATCACCAGATGTTCGTCTTTTAGTAGCATGAAGATATGGTAAAGATGGAAGTTCAGTTGAATATGCTCGTCGACTAGACAAAAAAAGATAATCTATTTTATTAAGGGACCTCCCCTCGGGTCAAAAACCTTTTTTCCTTCAAAAATACCGAGTTTGAGATTCATCTATATTTAGGTAGCTCATCATCTACACGTTCGAATAGACTATAATTTATCGGTTTTGCGGTGGTTTTTGAAATTTTCTTTTTCGAAAACTTTAATTATTGAAGCTATTTGAGTTTTTCTCTATACCAAGTTTTTAAGAAAAAAAATTTCAATAATCAAAGTGGAAACTATTTTTAACGTTCTAGCTGTCACTGTGACAGAGATTTCTCCACTATTTTAAATGTTATAATGCTCGGGAAGGTTTTAAAATGAAGCTAAAGCTCAGCACTACAACCTAACAGAGCCGGATTTGTGTTTTCGATTTAGTTCTTCATGAAAAAATTCAGTTTTCAAAAAACCGACTCTGTTAGGTTGTAGTGGCAAGTGTTTCGTACATTTTGACACAATCCCGCGGTCCATATAATTAAAATTGCGAAGAAAATCTTTGACACACGGACATCTACTTTTAACCCTTAATGTTAGGATAACTCTGGAAAACGAATAGATTTTTGACCCATGGGGGAGGGGAGGGCTTTAAATCAAAATAAACAATTACTCATCAAGATATTGTAAATTTCTTTGACTACGATCTCGTTGTTCTTTCATATCACGTAATAACTTATGTGGTTCATAATTTGGTATTGTTGTTAATGGGTCATTACTAAGGATTATTTTTTTTAGTTTGATTTGCATAACTATAAAAATAAGAAATATATTTACTCAGATAACGAATTTAAATTAAATCCCAAATTACGTCGACGTTCTTGTTCAAGACGTGCATTTTCTCGTTTTAATGCTTCTAATTGATTTCTTTCAGAATTACTTAAACCATTTGATTGATATAACTTATAACAAAAAAAAAAATAGAAGAATATCGAAAAGTAAAAATATTTACTTGTGATTCAGGTTGAGTTTGTAAATTAGCCATTTGTCTTAAAATATCACGTTCTTGTGCTTCCAATCGTTGATACTTTAAATAAAAATTTATTACTTTATTAATTTATTTATTATAATATTTACTTCCTCGGATATTAAATCATAATCATCATTATGTCTTTTAGTATTATTTTTGTGTTTTCGTGGTGTGTGAGATTCATAATATGCTCGATCTTCTTGATCTTTTATATTTTGAAGCATAGATCGTTTAGTTTTCCACTCATGTATATCATCTCGTTTCTAGAATAAGACTATTCTATAGACAGATATTTATATTAGAGTAAAATATTACTTTATCAAGCGACTGTGAATATTTTACACCTTTTCTGGATGTAGGTCGATCAGATTGATAAGGTTTTCTTGCATGTCCAGTATTAAAATCATCATCAGAATAATAAACTTTTCTTCCTATACCAGAATCTTTAACACCAACACAAAATCTTGTTTTATGTTTAACAAGTGCATCATCATTAGGAAAAACCATTCCACATTGTGCACATTTAATGACATGTTGTATAGGCATTTTTATTTTGAATTAAATAAAAAATTGTCTGTTGTAATTAATAATGTAGATATATCATTGAGATGAAATTTTATTTTTGATTAAATTATGTGATGGTGATTTGATCGATGTTGTTTGTGTATATTTTTGAAATAAGCAACGTTTGGAGATTGTTTACCTGCAAATGATTCTATTTTTTAAAAAGTTACATATTACTTATACTTTTCTTTTTTTCTCTTCTCTTCATTAAATAAGATGAAAGCTTTTGAATTTTCTTTTTTTCAAGTTTATAATGAATGCTTTTAGGCATTTCTTCATTTTTTCTTCTTTCTTAAATCTGCAGTTAATTCATCTGCACTTACCTTCACGTCAAAATACGCATCTCTATGCAAGTTTGATGTTATGGTAAAAAGTTCTTTTTGCATTGTACGTTGTTATATAAAAAAGAGAATTTTTCAATGTTTCTCTTTCTTTCGTTCTTTTTTTCTTTGTCAACAATACAATAAGAGAAACAATATTGTTTGCATTTTTTATGCATGTGATCATCTCTAACATAAATAATCAAATAACATAATCATGACGAGTGAAGGCGGGTCGTTAAGAGTCAAAATCAGTACTCTTCAAAAATTGCGACTTGTCTATACGAGATCATTACATTTGATCTCAAAATTCTCTATAAACTAATCCACTATATCCATTTTGATCATTTTTTAATTGATTAAAAATATTTTGAAAGAAAAAATAGTGTTAACTATTATATATTTTTATGAATGATTATAAATTGATTTTATAATCAAAGATAGATCAAATATAGTAAATAGGATAGTTTTTTATAAATCAATATTGATATAAAATTATGAATGCAAGCAGCATCAAGTCCATTTAACCTATTTTGTTTCATTATAAATCAGCAATAACTTCAATTCTCAGTAATTGATTGAAGTTTTTCTCAGCAGAAGCTGCTGATATGGGAAATGTTGCTATGAAAATTAGTAAATAATGAACACTTTGATATAATACACTGTTCGTCTCTTTAATTACTTCGTTTAACCATTTTTTTCTTAATTCTTCGTAGAAAGAACAAGCAAAGAGTACATGTTTGCTTTGGAACGGAAGAAAAAAAATGCAGGTACAATTTTATTCAAAAATAAATAAATAATTTTGAAAAAGTAAAACTTCAATGGATAAATCTCCAAATGGAATGGGTAATTTCCCATCCTCTCCCTCATTACGCCACTGGTCTTCAATATCCACTATTTGCCGAAACAATTGAATTAATTAATGTAGTAGATATGATTTCTTCTGTAAATGACTTGATGACTTGTGTGTCTTGAAAATAAAAAAAATCTAATCGATCTGTCATCAGAATAAAATTCGGAGATACTTAGGGCATATCAAAAGTCTTTACGAAGCTATATCAGTTTCTTATAGAATGATTGAAAAACATTTCTTTTATATAGATTGATAGTAAAAATAAAGGTCTACATTTCTACACTATTTGATCATTATTCATCTAATATCAAAAGAGTAACATTTCGATAAGAACTGTTTTTATGTAAAACTTAACTGATGCGTGAGACAGATTAAATGTCTCAGTCACTTAATACATTGTATTAAAAAAACAGAATATACCAAAAGATGCAGCTTGAAAAGTTCTACAATTTACACACGATCGCTTGTTTTATAGTTGCATTTTTTGTTTCTAAAATAAACTAAATTTGAAGTGATCAATTTTCGATCGTGTGAAAACGATATTTTTTTTCTTATTTTGTTGTTTTGTCACCTGATATCCTTTATTTAAAAAAAACAGAATATATCACAAGACGAAGTACGAAGAGCTCTCCAATCTCGAACGTAACGCTGATTTTAATTGTATACTTCTTATTATCAAAAAAAAACAATTGTGTGCGACCAATATTCGCTGCCTCGAAAAAATCACTTTTTTTCTTATCTTATATATTAAATAAACTGTTCTTTGTCAAGTGTAAAACTTTTCGCGCTGCATCTTGTGGTCTATTTTTTTCAATAGAACTCAGTAAGTGATTGAAAATTGAAATGCGACACGCAGTTATTAATCTGCTTCACCCGCTACTTACGTTTTACTTAAAAAGGATTCTTATCGAAATGTTACTCTTTTGATATTAGATGAATAATGATCAAATAGTATAGAAATGTATGGCTTTGTTTTTACTAACAGATTATATAAAAAGAAAAGTTCGTCAACCATTCTATAAGAAATTGATATAGCTCTGTAAAAACTTTTGGGATGCCCTAAGTAGATATTCTAAACACTTCTCAGTCTTTATTTAATTTATATTGCTAATAAAATCAATAAAAGAATCTTTTCTTATTATAAATGATAATATCACATTGAGAACAGATATTATATTTGATAACGTCCTTTTTCTTTTTATATACTAATATTTTATAATTGCCCTATTAGAATAATTAAAAAAATTTGAATTGATTTATTTTCTAAGTACATTCTAATTTAGTAAGACATCATTTTATAGAGAAACAATTTTTCTCTTTCGAATATATTTAATGCATACTCTCTGTAAAACTATATCTTTACTTAATAAATTCTCTTAATAGAAGGAGAAGAAAAAAAAAGGTATTTGTAAGTCTTCAACTTGTATGATATATAGATCTAGCTGTTGTGCATAAAGTGTTCGTATACAATTACACACAAGTAAATGAAACCTAATCAAGTATACTCAAAAATGAATTTAATATTTACATTGAAATTTGATCATTTATTGGCTGCAAAGTTTTCCTTTTGAAATTCGACAAATAGATTGTGCTGATCAAATGCTTTAGATATTATCGCAGACAAAAATGATTATTCGATAACTACTTGAACATGCTCTCTACGGTATATATACATATACATGCGTTTTAAAAATATATTTAGTTGATTTTATCTTTTCTATTTTAAATATCGAATATCAGCTCAGTCAATCTCATAGAATATTTCACCTGTAATCATGTATCAATAGTTTATATTCTATAGAAAAGCGACACATGCTCTATTTATCATCATTTAAATCGATTTTATTTGCTTTTAGTTATGACAAAAAACCTACTTAATTGAAACGACAGACTTGATAATGCTTTTTACAGCTGTTATAAAAATTCTATGATTTATTTTGTTGTAGATATTATATATGCAAGAAATAGTTTATTTTATACTTGTTTTTTTCTAAATAAACATGAATAGAAAACATGATTTTTTTATGCATCAAGTCATATTATATCTAACTTTAGTAAATTTATTGTCAACAAACAGGTATTTTTGTTATTCTTTGAATAGATTAATCAATACATAAAACATGATGTTTTATTGATTGACTGAAGCCTTGAAATTCAAAGAAATAGTTTGTTAACAATATGAATTGATTCTTCTCTCTTTTTTTTCTCTCCGAGAATAATGCATATATATATATAAGAAGATTTACTTACGATATACATTCTTTTCTATTTTTATAATATTTCTTTAACCTTGATTAGCATTGTCACGATGTTATTCTTGATCTTTTCATTCACAATCTATTATTATTACGACAAAAATATTATTGTCTTGTTCTTCTTCTTTTTTATTAGTATCAATATCTAATAGTGTTATATGATCATCTCATCCTCTTAAAGCTTTATATACATAACCTTCATGTTTTTTTTTATTTCTATAGCTATCGTCTATGCTGATTATGATCATTTATGCACATTAAGTTGTCATGTTTTCTCAGTAGCACGTCCTTCTTGTTTTGATCCAAATTAGGTCTAGTTGATATACATATAATAAGTCATTCAATATGCCTTATCAATAAAAGTGATCTGAAAGAAATCTTTTCTCATTTACTCTTCATTAGTTTCCTTCTGCTTTCTTTTTTCGTTCGTATAGATATACATACATATATATTTCATTCTCCAGTCACATCATTTACAGATATAATCTCTTTGGAAGGGTAAATGAATGTTTTAAATACAAACGATGACATTTTTTCGAGATGTACATTAATATAGTCTATTTTATCATTATATTTTTTCCATCCTATGTGTATTTATGTAATTATCAATTAAATAATAGTAGTGGTACTATTTTACTTCCACCCTATGATAATAATATTGAATGTACATGGATATTTAACTTATCATTAATATCAAATCATATACATTTTCGTAGTCTTTTATTAACATTTCATCATTTTGATACTGAATATGGTCATGATGAATTATTTATTGGAGAAACAATTCCCGATGTATCAAAATATAATTCCAAATTATTTCGTTTTTCTGGTTCAAAATTACCTGATCCTTGTTTAATATCACTTCGTGCTTCGAATTTAACACGATTTATATGGATGCAGTTTATTAGTGATAAAACAAATACTGGCTCGGGGTTTATTCTTGATTATGTATTTCTAGTCAATCCATGTAAGATTTATAAACTAGACCTTAGGAAAACTTACTATTGAATGTCATCGAATGTTATTCTTTCATATGTCATTATATGTAAACAAAAAAATTGTCAGATGTAAAAAGTTATCTAGACATAATAAGCTAATTTTAATCGTTATGGAAACTAAAAACATGTTCGAAGAAAAAGAAATCAGATATTTCTTAATTAAATTGATGATACTCATTTATATAATTAACGAATGTATCTAGAGACTGCCATCGGAGTAGTGTTGATTTTGTTTATATAAAAATTTAATTAAAATACTGATTGAATAATAAAGATTTTGTTTATTATAGCTATAACTACACGAACAAAATCTCCAAAACTTTTGATAAATACTAATATTCGTCATCCATTAGATAATAAATCACGAAATATTCAATTAAGTTATCCATATCCATTTGGAACTATTTCAAGTCCAAATTATCCACAAAATTATTCGGATAATATTGTAAGAAAAATTTTGTAAAAAACTCTTATATTAAATTTTCTTTTTAGATCTGTCGATGGAATCTATATCATCAAAATGCATTTATTCGATTATATATTGAAAAATTTCATACAGAATTACATTATGATACATTAACATTATATCTTGGTGAAAATTTAAATAATCGTGCTATGATTTTATATGAATTATCTGGTGATGATATTGAGAATAAACATTTATTTATTCCAAATGATAATTTATTTCTTATATTTAATACTGATAAATCAAATAGTGCATCAGGATTTTTTCTTCATTATCATATTATTGAAAAAGGTATTTGTTTTTTTTT